CAGCACAAAGAAGAGGGTCTGAGCTGTTTTCCTTTCATAGCTAGGTGGGCCTTGTAATAGATAGGCGACCTGGAAACTTTGCTATAGATAGGCGCCTTGGAAGCTTTGTAGTATATAGGCGACTTGGAAGTTTTGTAATAGATAGGCTTTGAATGCATATATAAAACTCGAAGGGAATTTCCTTGCGATTCCCGCCTGCGCCCAACTCTAGCAACCAAAGCCATGTGCCAACCTCTTGGGTCGAACGCCGAATATACACTCTTGTTAATCTGGCAATAAAATTGTCAAAGTCAATCAGTCTATCAAACCAGGTGCCGACCTCCCGGGTCGAGCACCAAATAGACCCGTCAGGGCGACGGGCCGGTCTCTTGGTGCCGAGCACCAAACTTTAGGGTTATCCTTGCCGACCTCCTGGGCCGATCGTCTGCCCTTGGAGGCGTTCATACCGACCTCTTGGGTCGAGTGTCGAACCCCAGAATCCTGACAAACCCCAAAATAATCCACGCCGCGCCGACCTCTTGGGACTGAGCGTCAGGTTTCCAGATTTCAAAGACTCGAGACGCGCCGACCTCCTGAGGTCAGGCATCCTCTCGTGCCGACCTCTGGGGGTCGAGCTCCATCGAACTTTCGGACCTCCGTGCCGACCTCTTGGGGTCGAGCGTACAGTCTAAACTTTGAAACCGCGCCGACCTCTTGTGTCGAGCGTGCATTTTGCCGCTTCAAGTCGTGCCGGCCTCTTGGGGTCGAGCACCACACTTTGAAGGCATCCACGCCGACCTCCTAGGTCGAACGCTGAACCCTCATGTTCTAGGGTTCCAAACCGTGCCGATCTCTTGGGATCGAGCATCCCCAAAACCTTTGAAGGCACCCGATCTATTACCCACTCATGCCCCCCAGCCCCCCACTAGGACATTGAGCGTGGGAGCGCTGAGTGTGCTAGTGCATAAGTTGGACTTAAAGGGCGAACAATCATAATGAATTCAAAACTGAAAGTCGAACATTTATTGAATGATAAAATTGAAATTTAGATTCAAAGGACAGACGGCCAAACACCCTAGTCTAACCTATGCTACGAACAGTCGTAGATTGGAGAAATGCCAAGTGCGGGGTACCTCTGATCCATCCATCTTCGCGAGCTTGCAGTAACCAGCTCGGCTTGCTTCGAGGACCTTGTATGGTCCTTCCCAGTTTGGGTTGAGCTTGTTGGAGCTGTGGGATCGGCTGACCGAGTTTCTCCGTAAGACGAGGTCTTCCGGTCGATACTGTACGTTCCTTACCTTTTCGTTGTGATAGCGAGCGAGCTGGCTTTTGTACTTAGCCATCCGTATCGCCGCCTCGTCACGTTTGACTTCCAACATGTCCAGGTTGCATCTCAGTTCTTCCTCGTTGGATGACGCAACGAAGTTCTGTGTTCGGGGCGAGGGTACCACCGCCTCTACACCGTATGTCAGAGAGAACGGAGTCTCATGGGTAGCCGTCCTCGGCATAGTGCGGTAAGCCCAGAGGACACTTGGGAGTTCGTCCAACCAGTTGGACTGGGCTAGTTCCAACCTGGTTTTCAGGCCCTGCAAAATGGTTCGGTTAGCATTTTTCACCTGGCCGTTGGCCTGTGGGTGGCCGACCGATGTAAAGTGCTGGTTGATCTCGAGCTCGGCACACCAGCTCTTGAAGGGGTTCTCGGTGAACTGGCGCCCGTTGTCGGATATCAAGACATGTGGAATCCCGAAGCGGCAGACTATATTTCTCCAGAAGAATTTTTGAATCGCCCTCCCCGAGATAGTGGCCAGAGGCTCCGCTTCCATCCATTTCGTGAAGTAGTCAATGGCTACGACTTGGTGTTCATATCTTCCCGGGGCTCGGGGGAAAGGGCCCAAGAGGTCTATCCCCCACTGGGCGAAGGTCCAGGGACTGTGGATGGGGATCATTTCCCTAGCTGGTTGGTGGCGCAGTGGGGCATGCACCTGGCAAGCTCGGCATTTCTGTACCAGGGCCGCGGCATCTTGGAACACCGAGGGCCAATAGTAGCCCAGGAGGAGGCACTTTTTGGCCAGTACCCGGGACCCCACATGGGCCGCACATAAGCCCTCGTGAACTTCACGAAGGACGTAGTCGCCCTCTTCTGGAGTCACGCACTTTAGCCAGGGGGACAGATACGACCTCCGGTCGAGAGTCCCCCCAGCGTAGGCGTACTTTGCAGCCTTGAGCTGGAGTCGGCGAGCTTCCGCCTTGTCCTCGGGCAGGACACCCGAGCTGAGGAAGTTCATCAAGGGGGTCATCCAGGTGGCCTAGCTGTCTATGGGCAAGACTTGGACGTGATCAATACTCTTTTGTTTGACCACCTCTACCAGGACTTCCTTGCTCAGGTAGGCAAATGAGGAGGACGCCAGCTTTGACAGGGCGCCCGTGCGCCTGTTCTGGGATCTCAGCACCCGCTCGATTTCAAAAGTATCAAACGGGGCTATTGCCTCCCGTACCTTGGCCAGGTATTTCTTCATGACCTCCTCCTTGGATTCGTATTCTCCGCGAACTTGGAGGACGACGAGCTGGGAGTCGCTCCGGACTTTGATCGCGGTTATACCCATCTGGTGGGCTATCCGTAATCCTGTAAGCAGGGCCTCGTACTCGGCTTCATTGTTGGATGCGGGGAAGTCAAATCGAAGAGCGAAGGTCAGCTCCTCCCCGGTCGACGAAATGAGCAGCAGGCCAGCTCCGCTCCCTTCCTTACTCGAGGCCCTACCCACGAACAGGATCCAAGGCTCTCCCGACCACGACTCCCTGGGCGGAGAGCTCTGCCCGGTGATGGCCAAGCTAGCCCCCTCAGCGAGGAAGTCCGCCAAGGCCTGAGCCTTGATAGCGGTGCGAGGCTGGTAGCCGATGTCGTGCTCGGCTAGTTCAACGGCCCACTTGGTCATTCTGCCCGAGACCTCGGGCTTTGTGAGTATCTACCGAAGGGGCTGATCCGTCATGATAACGATGCTGTGAGCCTGGAAGTAAGGTCGGAGCTTACGGGCCGCGTGTACCAAGGCGAGGACCAGTTTCTCTCCCGGTGTGTACCGCGTTTTCGGCCCTTGCAAAACACGGCTGACGTAGTATACCGGCCTCTGAGCCCCCTCGTCCTCCCGCACCAAGACCGAGCTGACGGCCCCATTGCAAGCGGACAGGTATAGGAACAAGGTCTCCCCCTGCTCCGGGGCGGTCAGAGTGGGCAGCTCAGCCAGGTAGGCCTTCAGGTCGGCGACGACTTTCTGGCACTCAGCAGTCCATTGGAAGTCTTTGGGAGCTTTCAAGATCCGGAAGAAGGGCAGTCCCCGGACCGCAGAACGCTAGAGGAATCTGTTCAAGGCGGCCATCCTTTCTGTGAGCCGCTGGACCTCCTTCACGCTCCTCGAGGGGGCCATGTCCATGATAGTGTGGAGCTTATCCGGGTTGGCCCGGATCCCGTCTCGAGACACCAAGAATCCCAGGAAGCTCCCCGACCTAACCCCAAAAGTACACTTCTTCGGATTCAGTCGCATTCGGCTCTCCCGCAGGATGCCCAGGATCTCCCTCAGGTCGAGGATGAGCTGCTGATCAGCTCGGCTCTTGACGATCATGTCATCCACGTAGACTTCCATGCTCCTGCCGATCTGATCCTGGAATAGTCTGTTGACCAGACGCTGGTAGGTGGCTCCCGCGTTCTTCAGGCCAAACGGCATAGTCCGGTAACAGTAGGTTCCCTCCTCGGTGATGAAGGAGGTCTTTTCCCGGTCCTCCTCAGCCATCTCTATCTGGTGGTACCCCTTGAAGGCATCCAGAAAATACAAGACATCAAATCCCACAGTAGAATCTACTAACCTGTCGATTCTCGGCAGAGGAAAGCAGTCCTTTGGGCAGGCTTTGTTGAGATCCGTGAAATTCACGCAAATCCTCCAGGTCTGGTCCTCCTTCTTAACCAATACCGGGTTGGCCAACCAGGTCGGGTAGTAGACCTCCAGGATGATCTTAGACTCCAGCAGTTTCCCGACCTCTTTCTTGATCACCGCATTCCTTTTTGGGGCGAAACTCCTCTTCTTTTCTTTCACCGGCTTGAAGCGAGGGTCCACGTTGAGGTGGTGGACGGCCAGGTCGGTCGGAATCCCAGGCACGTCCTCAATCGACCATGCGAAGACCTGGGAGTATTCCCTTAACAGGGCCTTCAAACCCTCCTTCTCCTCAGGGGGTAGCAACGAGCCGATGCGGATCACCTGGTCGGGCCGGTCCTCCCTCAAGGGGAATTCTTCTATCTCGTCCTGGGTGCCCAGCTGCCGGGCTTCCTCCCCTGGAATGCAGGGCTCCAGGCAGGTCGTCAGGGCGACCACCTTCTCCCGTCCTTGAAACATGGCCAAGTAGCAGGCTCGGGCCACCTCTGGATCACCGCGTACCTCGGCTATTCCTCCTGGAGTGGGGAATCTGACGCTGAGGTGGAGCGTCGAGAGGATAGCTCAGAGAGCGTTCAAGGCTGGCCGACTCAGGAACACGTTGTACGGGGATTGTTGCTTGACCATGACGAAGTTGACAGGGATGGTCCGGTATTTGGGGGCCTGCCCTACCGTGACCATCAGGGTGATCATTCCCTCCGGGTTGATAGGGGGTCCGGTGAAATCCATCAGTGGTGTCCGAACTGGGGTCAGCTGCCCGTCCTCCAAGCCGAGCCCCTTGAACACCCGATAGAACATGATGTCAACCGCACTGCCTTGGTCGACGTATACCTTCTTCACCCGGTAGTTGTTGGTGACAATGTCTATCACGATGGCCTCATGGTTTCCGGACGCTAGGGGAACTGCATCTCTTGGTCCGAAAGTGATCTCCTCGTCCATGCGCAGCCGTTTCAGGGAGTCATCCCCCTCGGGGGGAGAGGTCGCCTGCTCTTCCGAGCTGTGTGACTGTCTACCCCGGTGGGTTCCCCGGCGATGGTGTTTATCACTCCAACCAGGTTCTGGGTGTCCTGGTCGGGGGAGCGGCCCCGACGCACGTCACGCCGCTCAGGACAGTCGCGACCGGCCTTCGCCCCGATCTCCGCGGTAGGTGTGCCCGGGCTCCTGTCCGGAGCAAACTTGTCGCACGAATCGCCCCAGGAACCCTTTCTGGATCAGATTTTCAATCTCCTTCCGCAGGGCCCAACACCCCTCCGTGTCGTGTCCGACGTCGCGGTGGAAGGCACAGTACCGGTCCTGGTTCCTCTTGTTCCGAAGCGTCCCCATCTTGGGCGGCCGACCTCCCAGGCCTTCCGCCTCCATGACAGCTAGGATCTGGGCCCTAGTCCGAGTCAAATGGGTGTAGCCTTTCTCCGGGAGTGGTGGAGGAGCAGGGGCTTTCTCCCTCGAGAGCCGGTCAAAGACGTTTTTCTTGGCCGGAACATCCTTGCTCTCGAGGGGGTTTCCCCGTCCCTTCCGATCTCCGAGCTCCTGATCTGACTCTTTCTTCAGACGGCCTGCCTCCTCCACATTAGCGGCCGCGTGCGCCCTGGTCAAGAGCTCCTCCAGATTTTTAGGTGGCTTCTCGGCCAGCTTGTAGAAGAGTTCCTCTACCCTGAGCCCATTCACGAAGGCAACCATGACCACCTTTTCGTCTTTGTCCCTGACTTGTAGACTCTCCGCGTTGAAACGGGTCATGAAATTCCTCAGGGACTCGTCAGGCCTCTGCCTGATAGCTATTAGGTGGGTCGCATTCTTCGAGTAAGTTTTCGAGGAAACGAACTGGGCTACGAACTGTCTGGCCAGTTCACGGAAACTCCGGATAGACCCTGGTGCCAGACCTTGGAACCAGAGCCGAGCCTTCCCCTTCAAGAACATTGGGAAGGTCTTGCAGCGGATCTCATCCGCGGCTGTTTGCAGATGTAGACACCAAATTTTTCAACTTATTTATTTCTTTTTTTTATTTTATTTTATTTTTGTTTTAGTAATAACTATTATCTATTTCTTGTTTTTGAGGCACTTTTAGCATTTTAGATTATTATTATCTATTATTTTATTTTTAGTTTTTATTTCGTATTGGTTTTGCCCTCTTGGCCATTTATCTTTATTTTTATTGTAAGACGTTTTAGCCTAAAATTTGTCAAAAGGAGAAAATTATTCATAAAATAAGTTTCATTTCTTTTTATTATTTATAAAAAAAAAACCGCACATGCATGCTGCATAAGAATACATATATCATTTTCATGGGTTTTGTCTAGGAGATCGGATGGCCAAGGGAGAGGGCTGGAGAGGAGATTGATTTGTAGCCATTGAATGGAGGGTTTTAGGGTTGCTGACTTGTTATAAAAAGCTGAGAAGAAATCGCAGCCAAGGGGGGAGAAAATCAGGAGGCGACGGTAGAGGGAGAGAAGGAGAGAAAAAGGCTACGGGCAAGAAGAGCAAGAAAGAGAGTGACGGCTGGGTTTTTAGGAGGGAGAAAAAAAGAAACAAAGAGGTTTGGGACGGCTAGTTGAGTGAGGAAACTAGAAAAGAGGGACGGCTAGGGCGAGAAAAATCGGAGAGTGAAGAGGACAGCAGCAGAGCATGGAGGGACGGCTGGCAAGGTGCAACCGAGAGAGCTAGGAGGAGAGGGAGTTGCAGACAGTTAGGTTTAGAGAAGGAGAAGCCACCAAAAAGAGAGTTGGAACTGGTGGCAACCACGGAAAAGGAACCCGCCGCCACCATTGTTGCCGAAAGCTTCATCAGAAACGGTACCGTAAGGCTTTCTTTTGCCCTTTCTTACCAATAGTTTCTATTGATAAATGACGAGTCTATGAGAATCATGAGTTTGTTCAGTGTCTTGATGGCTGAATGTGATGTTTCCCGTGTGAGTGTGACCTCTTGTTCTGGTTCATAGGCCGCCTGCTAGAATCCTTAGATCGAGTTTTCTGCTGCAACAAGATTAAATCTTTCGACTTGTTGCAGCAGCTTGGGCATATTAGTCTCCTTTTTCCTTTTGTTTACTGAATCTGTGGCTCGTTTGAAAGGCTTGTTTTGTTCTCTACTTTGATTGGAATGCCATGAATAGCATCTAATATTAGAGCTGTGTTTGGAAAGGTCATTAGCTGTGAAACTGATGAACGAATCTGGGGGTCTAAGGAATTCCTCCTTTGCTCAATTTTTTTTTCTCTCATTGTGCGTTCAGTGTTACGTTGTTTGTCTCTATTTGGCCATTAGTTCTGGTCTGCTGAAATTTGTGTCCATAATCAATAACTTTGGTTTCATTTGAAGTATTCAGTGTTAAGGAGTTTTTGAGGGGATGGGTTCACTAGATTTGTTTGGAGCTTTGCATAATTGCTGCTTCATCGAAGCTTGCAGAAGGCATTTGTTGCTCAAAAAAAAAGTTTCCCCGCGGCTTTGTATGGGATTTTTCCCAAAGAATTTAACACTTGGCTCATGGTTTTACATGTAAATGATTTGACTCCCATCAGGTTTGTTTTAGTTTAGTAAACTTATGGTTTTGCCACTGTCCGTCCATTTCTATCGCTTGGATAAAAGAGATCAATTTAATTCCATCCGAGAGTTTGGAGAGATGTTTTCTATGTGTGTTGAGTCTTTTGTTTGTTTTTTATTGCAAGATTATGGTAGGGATTTTTAGATTTTTTATCTGGGGAATTTGGTTGGAAGCCACTGCAGAGGTTTAAGTCATTTTGATGGTGTTTTGATAAGCCATAAGGCTGCATCTGAAAAACATTGCAAAAAACCTCCTTAGCTGCCAAATTTGTTGTTGTAGCAGAAGGCTTTATTCGGTTACCTTTGTTGGCATTGATGTTTATCACTTGATTTATGATTGTTTCATCCTATCTGATTCCAGTTTCCCGAGTGTATCACGAAAAGACGCTGTTTTGTTTTCATTTCGCTCACTTGCAGTTTTCTTATGCTAGTTCAATAAGAGTTGTTTCTTTCTTCTGCCGTTATTTCTTTCATTTTTGGCAGTCATCAACTCAGATTTTCTGCCATAATCTTACAATAAAAGTGTGGTATTGAATTTGGTAATGGTTGGAATTGCATCTTGAGGTTTATTTCGGTTCAAAGTTTTTTTTTTTTGGTGATGCATTTGGTTAATAATGAAACACAGCATATCATATAGGAAAGGAAACCAGAATTGCAGAAGGCCTTCTACGTAATTGCATGGTTTTTGCATGAAAATAACTTCTAAAAATTACACTTTAACCCCTCAAGTTTCCCCTTATGCCACTATGACCCGGAAGATTGGGAAAACTAATCAATTTGATCTCTGTGATTTTGCAGCAATGCTACAAAGACCCAATTACATTCCAATCTCTTGCAATTAAGTCCTAAGTTGATTGCAATTTGAACTATTATTTGATCTTGTCCTTTACTTGTGGACCTTTGAGTTCTTAAATGTTTCGATTGGACTCGAATGATTGACTAATTCTTTCAATTAGGTCTTTGTCTGCTTTAAACCTTTGAGTATAGGTTGCTTAGTCTATTTGGGTGTTTTAAGTGCTTCAATTTCGTGTTATTTTTATTCCATGTAATTAATTGGTAATTAAATTGGTGCATTAATCCCTTGCTTTGGTGGTTTTAGCCCAAGTTATCCCTTGCTTTGCTTTGGGCATATTAGTCCCTCTTGTTAGTACATACTTGCATGTTTCACTACATTTCATGCATTTTTCTTGGTTTTTTAGCATTTTGCATGCTCCTCCAACCCTTTTCCCTCATTTTAGGTTTTCGCATTCTCATACTAGTTATAGGGTACATTTGCTTGAGAGTCCCCTTTCGATAAGGGAAACGAGCGAGTGTGGCTACAAAATAGCCTTAGCACGCTAGTTCTCCCTTCTAATCAAAGGAAAAATCAAAGTCGTAAAGTTAGGAGTCATTCCCGTACCCGACTTGATGCATTCCTCCAGGTTCATACATTCTCATTTTTATCATATCACTTTTCTCACTTTCTTTATCCACATTCTTTCACTACTTATATTTTTCTCAATCCACATGCCATGTTTGCATATTTTTCTTCTTTTATCATTTATTTTCTACCTCACAAATTGCACCCAATTGCACTTATATGTATCTACTATCATATTTTTATCCATTTGCACACAAACACCTTTATTTTCTCAATTGGCACACTTGCACTTTTCTTACATTCGCACACTTGCATTTTTCTTACATTTGCACACTTACACTCATATTTGAGTCCTCATTTGCACTAACCATGACCTCCATGAGGGCTTTTCTTATTGGCTACCACAACTCATGTGGTTGGGACCAAAAAGCCTCATAAGAGACATTTTAGATTTAGAATTACATTTTTCTTTCTTTTTTTTATATATCCATTAGTCACGTCCAACATGCAACACATATTTTGGGTAGAAGAATTAGGAAAAGTGGGGCTAAGTCACGCAACTAGCTTTGGCTAGGGTAAGGGAGTGCCTTAGGCCTTGCCTTTGCCTTCTTCCTTATCAAATGTGACCCCCGATCCCCTTTTTTGGTTACGTAGACCTAAAAGTTCTTTAAAAGGGTTTGTTTACTTTTTCGTTCAAAAACAAAAAATCATTTTTGGGTGACTTGGTACACCCTAACTTTATACCAAGTGGCGACTCCATTTTTTCATCCAAAAAACCCTTTTTGAACTTTATTTGGCCAAACCGTCGCATTTCACAATCCCACGGCCTTCTATTTTCACTTTCACACACGTTCACATACATATCTCACACACTACCTTCACACCATCAAAAAGTGGGGCGCGACAGATTGGCGACTCCACTGGGGACTTCCTAAGTGGGTCCGAGCATTTGATCTAGCCATTCTTTTCCGTTTTCTACCCTTTTTATGCATAGCATTTGGATATTAGGGTTGCATTTTTCTTTTTTAGGACTTTTTGCCTCGCGCGCATATCAAACTACCTCCTCACTCACGTATGTATGATTTGGTTGTTTGGATGTATGTTTTACTTGTCTTATCTCGCGCTTTGCATTGCATTTGGATGGGGGACATCACCTTAGAACCTCGCGTTGGTTCTCGATCCCTCCCTTCCAAACGAGCACTAGCATACGTGCATGCATTATTTTATCCCTATTTTTCTTTTTCGTGGGCGCCATCCCACATCTCCCTGTAGGATTAGGATCGATTGCCTTGAGTAGGCGGATGGTGTGCCCTGCGCCCATAGCGCTACCTAAGGGATCACTCGAGCCACCGACCAAAGGCCCTGGGAGTGATGACCCTTCGCCTTTAGGTCTGAAGGTTTGGGAGCCAAAGCCTGTCTAGATGCATTAGTGAACCAAACCTCATGCATCCATGTTAGAAGTGCCTAGGATAAGTCGACCTACCCGGCTAGGAACACTAGGCACGAGGGGAGGGATCCCACCCCTCTTTCCTTATTTATCTTTTTGCTTTTAATTGCCCAACGTGTTACGTGATTATGTGTTGAACTAATGTTTCTTTGTCTCCTTGTCTTTTGCATTCACAAACGTTAGGAATAAGAGATCTGGCATGATCCTCTTTATAGAACCCATCTTCTTAGATAGGCTATTGCACATCCAAAGATTCTGATATGTTGCATTTGTAGGATGATAATGTCATATCATTTTAGGCCTACCCTGGCGTATAAAGGGTTCCTTTAGGTCACGTTTCATTTGTGTATTGCACATTTACTCGCTTTAATAAACTGGCATCATGCATAAACCATAGAAGGGAATGCCATTTAGGGGATCCCGTACTAGGAATAAACCGCCCTGTGTTTCGGATATATAATCCAATGAGACTTGCACGTTTACATTTTGTACCATCCGAAGGGGTAGTGCACAAGGTAAGGTAGGATCCGATCATTTTCAAGAGCGATCTTTGGAATATGAGCGTCTAATAATCACCTTTTGGCCATTTTATCAAAATTGGTAAAAATCCCTTGCTTAAAAGACATTAATTTGAAGAAATTCACAAGTAATTCCTCACTATTGAGACAATAAATAAATTGAGGCCAAAATTTGATTTTAGAAGGCTCATAGACTAATGCATCGCAATAAATTTTTGAAGCTACCAGTGGATAGATTGATTTTCAAATAAGCTGTCAATTCAATTCCCTCCATTGGACCATTTTATTCATCAATTTCATCTAGTCCATTTTATCAATTTGTCCGTTTTTTAGGGCAATCTAGTCGATTTTAAATAGACCACCAATTTCATTTAATTCATTTGATTAGTTTACCCATTCTTAGGTCAATTCAATCAATTTTGAATAAATCATCAGTTTCGTTCAAATTTCATTTGACCAGTTTACCCTTTTTAGGGTGATCTTGTCAATTTTGAATAAATCATCCGATACATTTGACCAGTTTACCTATTTTAGGGCAATTCGGTCGATTTTGAATAAATCATCATTTCGCTTAATCAATTGATTTCATTCAATTCATTTGGCTAGTTTAATTCACTTTTAGGGTTATCCATTCAATTTTGAATAAATAATCAAATCTAATTCATGCATTTGACCATTTTACCCTTTTTTAAGGTGATCCGGTCAATTTTTGAATAAATCATCAATTTCATCCAACCCAGTCGGCTAATTAAGGTTTTAATGTCAAATTTCAAATTCAGAAACCTAGTTATTTTCAAGATAATCACCCATTGCATTTATTTGATTTGGATGAATTAGGGTTTTGGTCTGTGTTAGGAGATTTCAAATTTCTTCAATAGCAAACTCGTCAAAGTTAAATTAATTTGTA